GAGGGAACAAGAGAAATATAGCAGGAAAAAAAAACCAAAAAACAAATGAAAGGAACTTCAAACAACAGGACTCCCATGGGCTTGCTGGCAAAATTATAAAACCAGGTGTGTTTCTTCAGAAGTAGCCAGGTAATGCATGGTCTCACCCAGATAACTGAAAAGAGACCAGGATTGCCTTAAACCACCAAAATATTTGCACAAATCTTTCATTTGGTCTATGTAGATCTTCCTCCTCAGCCTGACTGCCTTTCTTTACAGGAAAATAGTTCTAGGTAAATGCAACTCTTTGTTTCGTTTTTCTGAGGACTATGTAGGAGAAGCTGTAACCAATCCTTGGCCCATTTCTCTAAGAAATGAACAAATCAACAAACAAATGAGTGAGTGAGTGAACCAGCAAACAAACGAATGAATGAATGAGTGAGTGAACCAGCAAAGGAATGAATGAATGAGTAAACCAACAAACGAATGAATGAATGGTAGGCTATCAAAGGCTATCACACTGGTGCCATAGAAACAATTTTAGTATTGAAAACTATCTTGAAAGAATGGTATCAATACTGTGCAAAGTGTGGAGTTAAAGAATTTCCTCACACATTTGCTAAAGTGTGGATTTAAAATTGAATAGGTATGCAGTGCCAAAGATCAAATGTTTGGGGGTTTTCCCCACGCTTCACTGATTCTCTGACTTTCTAGAACGTGGAGGGGCGTGCTTCGCCTTTTACTTACTGCTTAAAGGCCCTGTCCCGGCCTTCTGTCCCTTGAAGAAAGAACAAGCACTCCTCCTGCTTTCGCAGTTCTTCTGTCTTTCTTTCCTTCAGCTGCTCTTCATGCTTCTTTTTAAGCCATAGTCGAAAAGCTTGTTGTGGATCTCTGTTTTCCTGCTAGTTAGGAACACAAGCTTTGTTTAATTTAAATAAACCACAACTACTTTCCGAGGCCCTGCCTATAGGACCCTACAAGAATATGTCCCGATCATCAATTTTTCATAGTAATGCCAACCTCATGACCTGCACTCCCCGTATCCAAACCAAATATATCACCTTTGAATCAGCAAAACTGATTACCCAGCTGTCAGGAAATTCTGAGTTCACTGCCATCTGGCTTCCTTCAAAAGTCTTGCTGAACATAACACCGTATGTTCCTGCAGCGTTACTCACAATAGCCAAGACAGGNAAGATTGAGTTCACTGCCATCTGGCTTCCTTCAAAAGTCTTGCTGAACATAACACCGTATGTTCCTGCAGCGTTACTCACAATAGCCAAGACAGGGAAACCACCTAGGTGCCCACTGATGGATGAATGGATAAAGGTGTGGGATTATGTACAATGGCATACTACTCAGCCATAAAAAAAGATGAAATACTGCCATTTGCAACAGCATGGATACATCTCGAGGGCATTAGGCTGAGAGAAATAAGTCAGGTGGGAGAGGACAGAAACCGTGATTACACTCATTTTTATGTGGAATAAAAACAAACAAATGAACAAACAAAACAAAACAAAAACAATGTCTCAGTTACAGAAAACAGATAGGTGGGTACCAGAGGGGGAGACAGAGGTGAGGGAGCGGGTTATGAGACATCTGGACGGAGTGGTTTTAGCTCTGGCAGCAGAGCTAAAGGTCTGAGAAAGGGCTGCGTCTTGAACATTCAATAACTAGCAAAGGAGCCAAAGTGAAGCTGTAGCAAAGGGGCTGGGAGTGGATGGAGGTGAAGTCAGAAATAACAGGCATCAATAGTGTGCAACCTTGTAAGTGGCAGTAGGAACTTGGACTTTACTTGGAGACGAGAAGCCTTGGAGGTCCCTAAGCGAGCGTCACCCAAGCATCCTGCGCTTCAGAAGGCTGCTCCAGCTGCTGTGCGGGAAAGGATGGGGGCAGGTGGGGAAGGGAGGGCAGTTCTCAGGCTTCTGCAGCAGTCACATGAGGGTGGTGGGACTCGAGATATAACTTGAAGATGCAATTAACAAAATTTTCTCATAGATTGAATGTAGGGTTTTATATCAGGCTTTAAATGATTGCTTCACTATTTTTCAGGATTTTTTTATAGTTTTATAAATCCAACCCTATAAAAATTAAACATTTCTGCATTACAAAACAAGGAAATAAAAAACGAAAAGAAAAAAGTAATGCAGAGGATTTCTCCGAGAAGCAGTTTTCATAATGCACGAAGAGTTTCCATACGTTAAAAAGAAAGAACCAATATTCCTAAAAGAAAAGTTGACAGAGAATTTTCCTATGAAAAGAATATCTGAACAGCCCACAGATGGCGTTCAGTCTCACTGAAAACAACAGTGCGATCCAACAGTATCTCCCACCTCTCATACTGGCAAAAATAAAAACCTTGACCACAGGCTCCCAGCGCAGGGAAGGGGCGCTGTGCGCGCTGCCTGAACCACCTGAACATCAGTTACAGGAACCGGCAGCTTCCCCTCCGGGCGCTTGAGGCTCCGCGGGGCGCACCTTCGCTGCGTCCCCTCCCCACCCCCCGTGGCCGGAGCCAGATGCCCGGGGAGCAGCCACAGCGCTGTCCCCGCGGGGCCCGTCCCCGGGAGCCTCACTCACCCTGCCGCCCGGGTCCTCGATCTGCTTGGCCCGCTGCACGGCCGGGTCTCGGCCCCTGCCCCCGGTCCCCCGCCTCCCGGGGGCCTCACTCACCCTGCCGCCCGGGTCCTCGATCTGCTTGGCCCGCTGCACGGCCGGGTCTCGGCCCCTGCCCCCGGTTCCCCGCCTCCCGGGGGCCTCACTCACCCTGCCGCCCGGGTCCTCGATCTGCTTGGCCCGCTGCACGGCCGGGTCTCGGCCCCTGCCCCCGGTCCCCCGCCTCCCGGGGGCCTCACTCACCCTGCCGCCCGGGTCCTGGATCTGCTTGGCCCGCTGCACCGCCGCCTCCCGGGGGCCTCACTCACCCTGCCGCCCAGGTCCTCGATCTGCTTGGCCCGCTGCACGCGCCGGGTCTCGGCCACCTGCCCGCGCTTCCTCTGCAGCCAGGCGCGGAACACGGCCTCGTTCTCGCGCTGCCGCGCGCGCTCCTCCTCGGCTCGGCGCTGCTCCTCCTGGCGGAGAGCACGGGCGGGTCGGGGAAGGGCCGCGAGGCGGGGGCTTCTCAGGGGCGAGGGCGGCGCTTGAGGTCTGGTTAGAATTCCCTGCCCCCGAAACTTTCCTTCGAAAAACAGGGCGTCTCATTTGCTTGGGGAGAAAGTGAAGGCTTCG